TTGGGATAGCTTTGGGGAATATGGAGATAGAAAGGACCATCTGCCCCTGCACTTAATGGCCCCAAGCTATTGAACTGTTCTATTCTCGGGGCACCTGGGTAGCTCAGTTAAGCATCGGACTCTTGCTTTTGGCTCAGGTCATGACCTCATAGTTCATGGTGTCAAGCCCCATGTCGGGCTCCACACTGACAGTGTGGAGCCTGTTTGGGATTCTCTCTCTCCTTTTCTCTCTGCCCTGCCCTTGTGCACACACTGTCTCTTTCTCTCTCTCAAAATAAATAACCTTTAAAAAAAAATGTTCTATTCTCTGATGTGCTGGAGATTGTAGTTCTGGATCCAGATCCAGATGCATATGTATACGACATTCTGTTGGGTGACCTTCTAGATCCTGATGGTGTGGGTCTCTGTAGCAGGTCTTCTCTCTTGGCCACTCCGCTCTAAGCTAGGAAAGCCCACTGTTTGGAATGCATGCAAAGGTCTGTGGACGCAATAGTTGCGGAAGAGAAGTGCGGACTCTGGAGTTTGAGCCTTGACTTATGACCCTGAATGCTGGGTGACCTTGGGCAAATCACGTCATGTCTCTCAAGGCCAATTTCTTAATTAGTCGAATGGGAATAATAGTACCTGTCACTCACTGTTGCTGTGGGGACCCACAGAGGTCATGCGCAGGGAGCAGCCAGCACATGTGTGCAGGGTTCACCCTTCCCGGGCAGCTGCCCTTCTCAGTTCTCCCCGGGATGAGCGCTGGAGGTCAGGGTCAAGTCTTCTTAGGCTACACATGGCTGAGAGGTCAACACTCACTCCTCCTACCAGGCTTCCTCGTCCAATCTTACCCACCTCACCGGGCACCTCATTATTGGAGGCAACGGATGCAAATGCCCTTGGTAAGAGGTCCGGCAACACAAGGGAAGCTGTTAGTGTCCATATCAATGCCTCTATTCGCATTCAGGAACATGGAGACTCCTGAAGAGTGAGAGGCTTGCTCAAGCTCCCCACGCAGAAAGTGGTGTCCTAGAGGGGCGCCTGGGTGGCGCAGTCGGTTAAGCGTCCGACTTCAGCCAGGTCACGATCTCGCGGTCCGTGAGTTCGAGCCCCGCGTCGGGCTCTGGGCTGACGGCTCAGGGCCTGGAGCCTGTTTCCGATTCTGTGTCTCCCTCTCTCTCTGCCCCTCCCCCATTCATGCTCTGTCTCTCTCTGTCCCAAAAATAAATAAACGTTGAAAAAAAAATTAAATTATAAGAAAGTAGTGCCCTAGATCCCAGGCTGGTGGTTCTGACATCATGCTGCTGCAAAGACAAGTGGGCGATAATAGACTAGGGGAGAGCCGGGAAGAGCGGGTGACGAAGATTCACGACCTCTCCCGAGACTGACACGTGCCGCCTCCCTTATGGATGACCTACGGAAGTAAGCACATCTCCCGATACAAATAATAACTTTTTCAGAAACAATTCTAAGCTCTTTTTGAGGAAAACATATTTCCTGTTACTTCAGTTCCTGTGCCATCCTTGGAACCAGCGGACCCCCATGAAAAGCCATATTTGCCTCTAATGGCAGCCCTCTCTCCCTGTCTCCTTTCTGTCCTTTGTTCTTCCCCTAACGAGTGTGTATCATGCACCCACTTTGTGTGAAGCAGTGTTTCAAGCACTAGGGATATAGCTTTGAACAAAGTTCTCAGCCAAGTGTCACAGGACACACATCAAGTAATTCATGAGTGATATAATTTAGGGCACGATAACTTATAAAAAATTAATGAGGGTAGAGTGACAGAGACTAAGCTCTTTGGTTTTAATTCAAATTGTATTCAATTTTTTTTTTTTTTTGTAATAGATGCACATGGTGCACAATTTACAAGGTGCAGAGGGATACACAGTTAAAGGAAAACTCTCCCTGGGGTGCCTGTGTGGCTCAGTCAGTTAAGTGTCCAACTCTTGGTTTTGGCTCAGGTCGTGATCTCACAGTTCATGAGTTCAAGCCCCACATCAGGCTCCGTGCAGTACGGAGCCTGCTTGGGATTCTCTCTCTCCTCTCTCTGCCCCTCCTCCACTCGTACATGCCCTCTCTCGCCCTCTCTCTCTCTCTCAAAATTAAAAAAAAAAAAAACTTTAAATTAAAAAAAGCAATATTCCATTTATGCAAAGCTCAGAAGCAAAAAAATGCAAAACCAACAACATATTGTCTAAGGATGCAAACGTATGGGATAAAATAATTCAGAAAAACCGAAGCAGATAATAAACACAAAAATCAGGGTAGAGGTTCAGTGGTTTGAGGAGACAAGGGTGGAAACAAGCAGCAGGTGTAGGAGCATTGGTATGTCACCATCCCTGACAAATACTTGACATGTTTTTAAAAACAACTCATTGAAGAAAATTCCCCTAACATGATATTAAGCATTTCAATTGAATAATTCAGGGGCGTTTAGTACATTTGAAATATTGTGCAACTACCAGTTCTGTCTAGTTCTAAAACATTCCCAAAGTAACACCCCTACCCACGCAGTAAGCAATTTCCCTTGTCCCCTTCTCTCCTAGCTCCCGGAAGCCACCTAACTGTGTCCTGTCTCTATGGATTTACCTATTCTAGATATTTCACATAAATGGAATCAGACAGTATCTGGCCTTCTGTGTCTTGCCCCTTTCACTTAACACAACGTTTTGAAGGCTCACCGACATTGTAGAATGTGGCAGTACTGCGTTCGCCTTCATGGCGGATGACAGGCCATCGTGTGGATGTACCAGCTGTGTTCGTCCATTCATCTGCTCGGCGACGTTTAGCTCCAGGAGCGGTTCTGCGTGCGGCACCAAGGGAATGCATGCATCTATGTGGGTAACTGCTTTCAATTTTTCTGGGTAAGTGTCGAGGAGGGACATTTCAGGTCCACCCAATTTTTATTAAAAAAATAAAATTAAAATAGTTAACAAACATCGGTCAAATATAAGATAAGAGGGCCCTCCGGCTAGATGTGGAGGTGTTGGGAGGAAGCTGTCGTGTGTCCAGGAGAGAAGGAGGGCTGGAGCTAGGGTTCACGCTGGTTCAGATTTGGGACAGCGTGTCCCAGTTGGGACTGCAGGGCTTGCTGATTGACCGGACACTTGGGAAGAGAAACAAGTAGGAACTGAGGCTAGCTCCTTGTACTATTTACTGAGATGGGAGAGACAGGGTTGGGGGAGGGGACTGGGGGTAACAGCGGAAGAAATAAAAAATTCAGTTCGGTTGTGAACGTGTTGTATCTGAGATGCCTATCAGACGTCACATGCAGTAACTCGGGACCTATTTTGTGTCTTAATTTCCATATAATAAAAATTGGGTGGTGGGAAGAAGAACAATAATACCTCTTGCAATCCTACTATATTATTGTAACTACATTTGTTGTGGAATATAAACTCAGTAGGTGGTGTGAATATAAATCTATTTTTTGGCCCCCTGTTTTCAATGGTGTTCTGTTGAATCCACTTCAGGTTGTTCTCTAACTTTCTGGACATTCACAGTTACTGAAAGTCCTGCCCAGTTTAAAGCTGCCAGATCAAACTCAGTGTAAGACTGGGACTTCCTGATCCCCTGCTGCAGTCGGGCCCCTGGTGGAGGAAGGGGGTGCCCCCTTCTGGGCTGGAGCCCCTGGTGGGGAGGGGCACACAGTGGGTGGTCAGAGGACCCTGAGAGTCAGAAAAGCAGCGACAATTTACCCAGAGCCCATTCAACACACCCTGTCCAACGCCCACAGACACCCTTGTGCCCCATGGAGGGTCACCCTTTCCTTCTACATCCCTGAATATCCCAAAGGAAGTGCTCCTGTGGGGAGTCTGGACCCATGTTCTTCCAGGCACCCCCAGACCCTCCCTGGGCCCTCAGCCCCTCCTTCCTTGGCACCTTCTCTTTATGTATAGACCCTTTCACCAGCCACAAACAGTTGCCTCTCTCTGTATTCTAGGGGACCCTCAACTCCATGTCCTCACCCCCACTTTCTTCTTCTCTTCCACTCTCTGCTGAGGTCAGACTTGTGATCTGTGACACTATGCCCCGCCCCCCCAACAACTCCTGAGTCGCCCTCTCCTATAGCATTTCCAGCTTCATCCTCCCTCAACTGTTTGGTATCTTAGAAGCCATGGGCCTGCCTGTCTTCCTTCTTATCTCTCTGTAATGTATGAGTTCCCATTTTCCAGATGAGAAAACTGATACTCCTAAAGGTGAGGAGGTTTACTGAGCTCCCTCAACTGGTAAATGGTGACACCAGGCCTCTGCTGCAGGCCGTTGACTCCATGTTCTGTGCCCTGCAGACTTCTCAGGGTCTGGAGAGTATCTGAGCTCACCAGCAAAGTAGGGCTCCTGGCCCAGGTCACACGCCCAAACACCAGCCTGCCCAGGCACCAGTGGGCTCACACAGACTTAAGGACCTGGTGCCCCTGAATGTTGGGTGGTGACAAAACGAAAACGAATGATGAGTGATTGACGTATCGGTCAGAACTGGAAGGAGCCTCGGAGTTTTGCCACTCAGTATTTATTTTGTCACTCCCCCTAGCTGATCAGGAGAGGCTGAGGCCGGGCATTGTTGGGGGCAGAGGTTCTGGAGAGGCTGCCTGCCAGGCCTGGGCTTCTTAGAAAGCTCGCTCTGACAGGGGAGGGAGCATCAGCTGGATCTGGCCAGAGGCAAATCCCAAGAGCCCACAGGGCAGAGCAGCTGCTGTAGGTTTCCCACGGGGACCAGGTATACTCCTCCTGGGCTCAGCGTCTGTTTCCTCTGGCCACTGTAACAAATGACCACAGGCCATGTGGCTGGAAGCAACGTAAGTTTATTCTCTCAACTTCTGGAGGTGGAGGACTGAAATCAAGGTGTAGGTGGGCCACACTTTCTCTGGGGGCTTTAGGGGACAATCTGTCCTTTGCCTCTTCCCGCGTTGGTGGCTGCTGGTATTCCTTGATTTGTGGGCACATGGTTCCAATGTCTGGTCACACTGCCATCTCCTCTTCTGTCTTTGTGTCATATAAACACATTTCAGCAGGCTCCATGCCCAACTTGAGGCTTGAACTCATGACCCTGAGATTGAGAGTCACATGCTCTACCAACTGTGCCAGCCAGGCAGTTGTGTCTTTGTGTCTTTGTGTCTTGCTCCCTTCTGGCTGGTTCTCATCACACTTGTGATTACATTTAGGGCCCGCTCCGATAATCCGGGATGATCTCTCCATCTCAAGATCCTTAATTTAACAACATTGGCAAGATCTTTGCCATATAAGGTAACATCCACAGACTGCAGGGATCAGAACCTGATATCCTGGGGGCCACTGTGTAGCCTAGTACCCTTAGACTAACTAACTTGCCCACAGTCACCAACTTAAGTGAGAAAATGATCAAGAAAGTGTGGCTAATATATTCAGGACATTTATATTGGCTATTTTTGCAGTTTTTTTACCACTTGCTGGTAATGGATTTAATTTTATCTTGAGGTCAATGCACTAGGCACAATTAACAGTGACTGACTACCTTTCTGTTGCTCAATATGTAGGAGCCTTGTAGGAACCTGAAAGGGAGTGGTCATCAAGAGAGGAGGTTCACCCTGACTAAGACCCTTCCTGCCCTCCCTGCACTTCCCTTTTCACGACCATGATTCTGATGCTTCATCCTGTCCCCTAGCACACATCAACCAGGAAAGTGGCTGTCACGGTTGCATTTGGAAAATATTTGTTACCAGTGAGTTTGATTCCAGGTCAAAGACAAGGGCAGAATTGAAAGAGTAAAACCCTCAAAGGTCTAACTTTTCCTGATTAATAAATCCCTGACCTCACACACGGAACCCGTTGAGTTGTTAGAACAAGATTCTGTTCCGGCGGGTGTAACCTCAGACGTGAGCTGTCCAGGGCTGGCCTTCTGAGTCAGCCTGAGTCCCACCTACATGCGCTCCCCTGGGGCTGCTGGACTCAAAGGCTCTTTTCACGAAGAGAGCAGGAAACAGATGACTCGATGTGCGTGGCACATCCAAGCCGGAGGGTAACTGATGTGCTTGAATATTAATAAGAAAGAACTGGCTTCTGTAGCCTGGGAACCCTAAAAGAGATTCTGTTAAAGCATTTGAATCTAGACCTACAGCAGGCAAGCAAACGCACAGGTAATTTATAGACCAAATGAATCAAGAAGAAAAAAGTAGAATTGAATAATGTAAAACTTTTACTCATCAAAACTTTGGGGATACAACAAAATGGTATTTAGAGAGAAAATCACAGCCTTATATGCTTAAATGAGAAAAGAAGAAGGGCTAGAAATTAATGAGCTATGGGGGCGCCTAGGTGGTTCAGTTGGTAGAATATGTGATTCTGGGTTCTGTGAGTTCAAGCTGCATATTGGGCATAGGGCTTACTTAAAAAAAATTATGAGTTATGCATTAATATTATGTAGTCAGAAAAAGAATACATTATACCCAAAGAAAGTAAAAAGGACAAATGGAAAGCAGAATTTAATAAAGACAAAATGAGATGGGAGCCTGGGTGGCTCAGTTGGGTGGGCATCCGACTTTGGTTCAGGTCATGATCTCGCAGTTCATGGGCTCGAGCCCCACGTCAGGCTCTGTGCTGACAGCTCAGAGCCTGGAGCCTGCTTCAGATTCTGTGTCCCTCTCTTGCTCTGCCCCTTCCCCACTCATGCTCTCTCTCTCTTTCAAAAATAAATAAACATTTAAAAGTTAAAAAAAAAAAAGATAAAATGAGATCAGTAAAGCCAAGAAATAGTTCTTTGTTGGGAGAGAGGGGAGGGTGGGTGATGGGCATTGCAGAGGGCACCTGTTGGGATGAGCACTGGGTGTTGTATGGAAACCAACTTGACAATAAATTTCATATTAAAAAAAAAGAAATAGGGGCGCCTGGGTGGCGCAGTCGGTTGGGCGTCCAACTTCAGCCAGGTCATGATCTCGCGGTCCGGGAGTTCGAGCCCTGCGTCAGGCTCTGGGCTGATGGCTCAGAGCCTGGAGCCTGTTTCCGATTCTGTGTCTCCCTCTCTCTCTGCCCCTCCCCCATTCATGCTCTGTCTCTCTCTGTCCCAAAAATAAATAAACGTTGAAAAAAAAAAAAAGAAATAGTTCTTTGAAAAGCCTAGTTAAAAAAAAAAAGGCAAAACTCTAGCCTGCCTAATTAAGAATAAAGGAAAGAAATGGGGAGTGAAGTATTAGAAAATACAAGGTAGGAAACGACCACAAATGTTACAGAGGTTTAAAAAGTAAGGAAATACCATCAACAAATTTGTGTCAATAATTTTGAAAGCTTATACAAAACAAATTAATTCCTAGAAACCATAACATCATGAATAACCAAGAATAAATAGAAAATGAATAGCTCCATAACTGGTAAAGAAATTGGGGGGCATCTGGATGGCTCAGTCAGTTAAGCATCCGATTCTTGATTTCAGCTCAGGTCATGATCTCACTGTTTATGAGATTGAGCCCCACGTCCAGCTCAGTGCTGAAAGTGCGGAGCCTGCTTGGGATCTCTCTCTCCCTCTCTGTCTCCGCCCTTTCCTGGCTCGCTCTCTCTCTCAAAATAAATAAATATTTAAAAAAAAAATTGAGGGGCGCCTGGGTGGCTCAGTCGGTTGAGCGTCTGACTTCGGCTCAGGTCACGATCTCGCAGTCTGTGAGTTCGAGCCCCGCATCCGGCTCTGTGCTGATGGCTCAGGGCCTGGAGCCTGCTTCCGATTCTATGTCTCCCTCTCTCTCTGCCCCTTCCCTGCTCATGCTCTGTCTCTCTCTGTCTCAAAAATAAATAAAAACATTAAGAAAAAAAATTTTTTTAAAAATTGAAGCAAGCGCAAATAGCTTCACAGGCAAGTTCTACTGAACTGTCAAAGAACACATTATTTCAGTTTCACACAAATTCTTTCATACAAGAAGAAAGGCTGAAAATCCAAGACCTAAGTAAACATCTCAAAAAGCTTGAAAACAGTAAACCAAATCCAAAGAAAGTGTAAGAAAGGGAATATAATAGAAAGAATCAACAAAGCTACAAGTCTCAGCGCTGGTGAAACTGATCGTGGTAAGAGAAGCACAGGAAACATGGTCAAGAGTGAGAAAAAGACGTTACCAGAGATCCTTCAGACATTAAACAGCAGTAAGAGAGTATCACGAACAACTTCATAAGAACACATTAAAACTTTTAGATGATATGGACAAATTTGTAGAAAAATACCTTACCAAATTGGCATGAGAATAAATAGAAAGTCTAGATAGTACCTTAACAATGACATTGAACCTGCAATTCAAAACCCTCCCGAAAGAAAACCTGAGAGAGACCCTGAGGATTTCACTAGGTGTTCTCCCAGCATTTAAAAGGAAATAACACTAATTTCACACAAACTCTTCTACAGAAAAGAAAAAGAGGAGACACATGTTTGTTTTAGTTGGACACTGTATGTAGCCTTTTTCCCAAGTCTGACGAGGACATTATGAGAAAAGAAAATTACATGCCAATATTATATTGCTCAGGAACGTAGATAAAAATAACTCTAAAGAAAATATTAGTAAGTCAAATCCAGTGATGATTGAAAGATAAAACGTCACAACCAAGTTGAGTTTATCTAGGAATGCAAACTTGGTTTAATATTCGAAAATCAATCAATGTAATTCACCAAAGTAGCAGAATACAGGAGATAATAATCATACAAACACCCCAATACCTGCAGAAAAACAACTGATTCAATATTCCTAGCAAACTAGGAATAGATTGGATTCTCCTTGATCTGTTAAGAATATCTCAACAAATCTGCAGCAAACATTGTCATCCCTAACTTTACAATGTTTCCAGCTTTCTCTTTGCCATCAGGAAAACACAAGGGCACCCACTTTTGCTGCTTTAACTCAAGATTGCACTGGAGCTCCTGGTAAGTGCAGGAAGAAAAGAGAAATAAAAGATAGAAGGATTGAGGGGGTTCTGGGTGGCTCAGTCAGTTGAGTGTCCAACTTCGGCTTAGGTTTGTGAGTTCGAGCCCTGCGTCAGGCTCTGTGCTGACAGCTCAGAGACTGAAGCCTGCTTCGGATTCTGTGTCTTCCTCTCTCTCTGCCCGTTTGCACTCTGTCTCTCTCTCTCTCAAAAACAAATAAACATTAAAAAAAAAGATAGGATTGGGAAGGGATACATAAAACTGTTATTATTTGCAGATGATATGCACATAGAAAATCTAAAATAAATATATGGATAATGATTAGAATTAATAAATGAGTTTAGGGAGCACCTGGGTGGCTCAGTCAGTTACCAATCCGACTCTTGGTTTTGGCTCAGGTCATAATCTCACAGTTGGTGGGATCAAGCCCCGTGTGGGGCTCTGTGCTGACAACATGGAGCCTGCTTGGGATTCTCTCTCTCCCTCTTTCTCTGTCCCTCCCTGCTCACTCATGCACTTGCTCTCTTTCTCTCTCTCTCTTAAAATAAAAAAAAAATAAACTTAAAAAAAAAAAAGAATGACTTTAGTAAGGTTGTTGGGCATAAGATCAAAGTACAAAAAAGAATTGTATTTCTGTAAAGTAGACACAGGAGCTACAGAATGAATTTTTGTAAAAGATACTGTTTATATATAGGATATACAAGGCAGCTACATAAAAACTAAAGAAAATTATAAGAAATCAAAGAATAGGGGCATCTGGCTGTCTCAGTTGGTGGAGCATGTGACTTTTGACCTCAGGGTTGTGGGTTCAAACCCCACATTGGGTGTAGACATTACTTAAAAAATAAAATCTTAAAAAAAAAAAGAAATGAAAGAATAAATAAAAGGTGGAATATACTGTGTTTTTTTGTCTCAGAAGAGTCATTATTATAACATATTCATTCTTCTATAAAATTGGTCTGTATGTTCAATGCAATCTCACAAAAAACATGCCCAAAGGGTTGTGTGTATATATGTTACAATTCTGTGTAACTTGACAAGCTGATTCTAAATTTCTATGAAAACGTGAAGGACCAAGAATATCCAAAGTCTTTTTTTTTATTATAAAGCCAGCTTTTATTTATTTATTTATTTATTTATTTATTTATTTATTTATTTACTGTTTATTTTTATTTTGAAAGAGAGTGAGAGAGAGAGAGCAGGGGAGGGGCAGAGAGAGAGG